GGGATGGCCGTCACTTTATCTTACATTAGCAAATTCCAGTTTAATTAGATGCTCACTGCTCTGAATCTTCCATCCTATAAATACACTGCATGAGTTCATAATTCATCATATTATGAGAGAAGCGAAGACCCCCTATTTTTTCCTACTGTGTGTTATTTTTTTATATACACACAATTTCTTCCATGCATGGATTTGAGGGAGAGGGATAAGATATCACAGTGGAAATGTACACAATTAAGTGTAGAGCAGACATAAAGGTGAATGTTTCTGTCCAGCTTGCAACACAGAATTTGGTAGACTAGAATGAAAGACTGAAGATAGTAAATTAAGGACAGACGTCAGAAAGCGCTTCCTTGGACAACACATCAACATGGAATTTGCTTCCACAAGGTATGGTATTGGTTGTCAAAGATGACCTTAGCTACAGGAACTTGAAACCTCCATGTCAAAGTAGCGTATATCAGTTGCAGGAGATGGGAAACAAGGGAGGACTGACGTCTTCATTTGTGGGGAATTCCTGGAAGCAGCTGGCTGGCCACTCTTAGAAATGGGATGCTGGATAAAATGAGCCCCTAGTCTAATGCAGCGTTTCTCAACCGTGGCAACTTTAAGGTGTGTGGGAAGGGAATTCTGGGAGTTGAAGTCCACCCATCTTAAAGTTGGCAAGGTTGAGAAACACCGGTTTAATCTATGAAAGCCCTCCTTGTGCAGCCATTATGGATGATGGAAACTAGAAGAATGACACTCTTGAGTTTCCTTCAGAGGCTGATACAATCCATCCCTGCACAGAACAGGAGATGCCAACCCTTAACCTTACTACAAGCATGTATCAATCTTAAGTTTGATAAATGATTTGTTTTGGACACAGCATGCTAAGTTGTGAAACTCCTACCTACAAGAGCTTGACCAACATTTTGCAAAATTCAACGTACAGTGGCAACAGCTCTTAAGCAAGGTTCAGCTAAAGCATCCAGAATCAATGCCAACACCCAGGATTTCAGTTAGGAATGAAGTCAGGGATTTGGTACAAACAATCAGCCAGGGGTCAGGAAAAAGGGTGGCTAGGCCTCATTGACAGAGCACGTCTTCCTGCATGCAAAATTCTCAGGTTGCCTTCAGAGGTATGGAACTTCAACTCCCATTAACTTTTGCCTGCAACATTTGGTGAGAGTTGCATTATACACCTGTCAGTGTGGACAACCACAGGCTGAAAACACATCAGTATTATTCTGTAGAAAGTTCTGCCCCAGCTGCTGGAGAACCGTTGCTAGGTAAGGCAGGCATCACTAAACAAGACAGAGAAGCAACATGACCTAATATATGGCAGTTTCCTATTAGACTTAATGGAGTAAACAAAAACCAAGTATATTCTTGATAAGCAATATGGTGAATCAGGGCCCTAAACCATGTTTTAGCTTACATTATAGAATTTAACATTTTTGTTAAATGTGATCTACCAAGAGCGGGACAGTCTAAAGCTGGGCTTTAATTTTTCCAACTCATTCATTCTAGAGTGGTTTCATGGAGGTCTATGGGATTATGTAAAGGCAATATAGTAATGTTGAGAGCTAGATTTTCTCATGCTGACTTATAATATGTAAAATGGTGTAGTTGTCATGCGAAATGACTTCAGGTGCCTCAGCCTAAAACTTAACTCCCAAATTTGTGATCCTAATCCCACAGTACCATTGGCCAGGCAAGCAGTTTTGGACAGAACCCATTTTCTTTTATTAGCCATACATCTGATTCCACAACGACTGCCCATCTCATGCCAATCTCAAAGTCACCCACCCGCCCATTCAGAACTGGAATGCCTCATCCTGCATTGAAAAATAAGCATTGATTAAGCAACAGTTTCTCAAGACAGCACAACACCAGCATACTAATGACCTATTTTACATCACCGCACAAGACTTGATACATCTTCCAGGCAGTCCGTGGGGTTAATTACACAGAAGGTTCCAGACAATTCTTCCCCCCATGTCAACATTTATAATACTAGCCTTCCACATCCTGGAATCTTCCAGGTTGCTCAGCCTATAAAACATTGGCTGGGGATATCTGGAGGTAACCCAGTTAGAAAAGACGGCACTAAACTTCAGAAAGCATTAACTTTTAATGCTTTTTTCCATTACCCAGGGAACTGTTTTTCTTTTTGCAAAGAACAAACAGAATCAGGTACCTGCAGCAAGATTTTGCATATCTTAGACAGCGCCAGCCTGACTGTTATTAAGCACACACACAGGTAGGCGCACTTGGATTTTTTTAAAAAGCATTTATAATAACTTTGGCCGTCTAGCAAGATTAAACATTTAAGTACCTGTTTTATGTTTCACTTGTCTTGTGAAATATGTCTTGCTTGGATTATACCCCTTTACGTGACAAGTAAATCTGGTTCTCCTCTCAAACCTACTTTAGCATCCTCACTACCTTCTTCCCATTCAGAGAACGGGGTCCCATCAAGACTACATTCTGCACATCCCCTAAGAATGAGCTTACATGTTTGAGCGAGAGACAGGAACCTGATCATACCTCCTAAAGGGATCAAATAAACGCCTTTTCCTAGCTTGGACCCTACTTCTTATCAACCCTCAAAACTAACCCAACTGTTCGTGTTCTGTAGTTGCAGCCTCAAGATCATTAATCAATCTGATTAAATCAGTGTTGTCCAAACTTGGCCACTTTAAGATGAGTGGACTTCAACTCCCAGAATTCCCCAGCCAC